ATGTTCAATGCATTTGCACCCCTTCTTGCTGTGTAGCTCATTCCCATCTACAGGAACTTTTCTATCGTTTTAGTGAGGGACAAAAGTTTAAGGGGACGTGGATGCGCCCGCTGAAGCAAGATCTTTATTCGCCTGCCTTCTTGAATTCATGCTCGAACTCATAATCAAATACGGAGTATTCATCCACAGGTAGTTGCGGCATCTATAGGATGCAGTCGCTTTGCAGCCGCATACCCATGAAAAATCAACGAACCTCTTTTTTTTCCCTCGAGGATGGTGGCCCCCTATGCTTCGAAAATAGTTTAATGTCTGGCCTTCAAGTGGTTAATTGGTGACATTGCGTCATCCGTATTGGAGGTTGACGTGATGAGTGTTCGCCTGACTAAACTATGTCTCGGCGCGGACTATGGCCTTGAAATGTCAGTGTACTTGTCAATAGAGTGGGGGCGTATGAACCATGACTCAAGCGAGTGGCACCCCGCGCAAAAATCTCTGCTTCATCGAACTTGAATTTCTGGCAGGGTCTCGTCGAATGAGCCGTGACTTGAGGATTAGCCTCATTTCTTTGCTCTGCTGCCGCGTGTTTGGCCATTCGTGTAGACCTTTTAATTTACAATCGGTCTTAGGCCTTCATCAGTCCAACCGAATTTTTAATCTTCCGCCTAGGCTGGAAGAAAAAACTCACCTATTACGTTAGACACTACAATTGATTTCCCCCTTTCTTTCTGCTTGCAATGTTTTAGTCCTGTCGGTTCGACCCCTTCCTTGATGACTGCCTGGAACTAGCCAAACGCGTTGACAAGCTGGGAGTTCCGATCGAGGTGCATGCCCTCGACGACATGCCTCATGCCTTTCTTAACTTTGCCTTCGTTGACAACGACTTCAGCCGCGCCACGGGCCTCTGTTGTGAAATCATTCAGAGGTTGATGCGAGGCCAGGTGACGGCGAGTCCCCGGGCGCCGAAGACCGCACCAGACTCCAAAACATCCCCACCTTCCTCCCCTTCGCCCTAATTTCTCCCCCACCTCCGCCAATCTTTTGCCTCAGAGTCAAATTAGATGGGGACCATCTCTGTGCAAATGATTCGCAACTAATCATTTTTTCGTGCTTATTTTTGGGCCTGGACATTTTAATATATATTATTTTATGCTTTCTTCCCCCCCCCTTTTTGCAATGTGCCTTCAGCAAATAGATGGAAGCATTCTGTCGATGTCGTTTCTCCCATGCTTTTTCCGTCTATCTACTCACTCAATCGGAGCAGATTCCTGCCTCATGTTGTACGCGTCTGAGCGCCTGTCCTATCTAATATTAGTTTTGTCTTATTGCCACTCTGCTCATTCCGCTTGATTCTTTTATTTTTCGAGTCGGCACAAAAGACGTTTATAAAAAGTTTCAGAAAAACGACTTCCTTAATCTTTGCCCTATGTGAGGTTTGCTGCATCTCTACCACGTGCAAATACATCGGTCAGGCTACCGAATATTCTTCCCTTCGAAGTGGCCAGTGAGTGTATGGTTGTGGCTTTCGGTTCTATACGTGTGCACAGCAATTGCGATGAACTTGCAGTAACCTGCTTATGCGTTTGCGAACACACTTGAGCGCACACTGACCTTGTCCTATACGAGCGTGGTTGCTTGGACTACTCTCTGAAAATGTCAATTTTGTCGAAGTGAGAATCAAGGGCATTCGGCTCATCAGTAAAGCTATAATACAGCTGTTGGCGCTCTACTGATAGTTTCTTTGCAAGTGCGGCAGTTTTTCGGGGAAAGTATGAGTGATATGCGGTAGCATGGTGACTACGTCCTCCAGATGCCGCTACCCCCTCTGTATGAATGCGTTCTATCTGCTGATGGGTTCGAGCATAAATCTGTAGTGACCACGGATTCTTAGGTATGTTTTATTCTCGCATGTCTGTCTTTTGTGTCTATATGCGCACCAGAGCTTGTCAAAGGCAGGTTAATGTCACGAACGTGTGTTTACCCTCTGTCTGTCC